TGTCCAGTTTTAGGGTTTTACACAGAATTAAACCAAACAACATGAATCAAACATGCACTTTATTTATTTCCACTAAATAACAAAAGTACATATTGAAGCTAAGGGCATACAAAACTGTCTAACAGGGAGGTGGTTAAGTAACTCCCCATTCCTCTCTTCTTAGAATGCCAAGTGTCACCCCACTTAAAATGGGTTAAGGAGGGAAAAGAAAACTCTTCCTTCCTAAGGTGACAAGTGTCCCCCACTTAAAGTGGTTAGAGGAGGGAAAATAATTCTCTCTCCCTTAGGGTGACATGTATCCCCCCACTTCAAGTGGTTAAAGGAGGGAAAATAAATCCTTCTCCCTAGGGTGACATGTGTCCCCCCATTTCAAGTGGTTAGAAGAGGGAAAATAACTTTCTCTCCCCTAGGGTGACATGTGTCCCCCCACTTCAAGTGGTTAGAAGAGGGAAAATAACTCTCTCCCCTAGGGTGACATGTGTTTCCCCACTTAAAGTGGTTAAAGGAGGGAAAATAGTCCTCTTGTTAGAGTAGGAAAAGTGGCATCCCCTCATAAATAAGTGGGACACCTCACAAGAAATTAATCAAAATGGATTTATTCTTTTAGGGCATGCTATTCCATTAAATGGGCTCTACTGCAGGCCCATTAAATGCTTATTGTATTACAAATAAGCCCAAATAACTTGGGGCCTGTTGTTCACTAAATTAGACTGCAGGCCCCTTTCTTTATTAAAATGTTTMAGCCCACCAATAGGACTGACTGGGCTTATAAGAAAGCCCTTTTTTTTCTTTATTATTATTATTTTTTTTAAGCTATGTCTGGGAGTATCTTAATAACCTGCTCCTAGTCCAGCAAACTTAAGGACTTAACAATTAGATACACATCAATTACAGAAAGATCATTCAAAAGAAATGACTTACAAAATGTGGGTCAAACCATTTTGCCTATTTCTAAGGGTGGGATGCCTTTCTTTGCTGTCAGGTTGAAAGCTTTTGCTGTTCTTTAAACATGTCCTCCAAGTTTCTAAACCTTTCAACTGTGCCCTGAGCTATCAATTCAGTGACCTATATGGGCTCTCAGTGAACATAATTCTGTCTGGGTGACCATATTGTATTCTTTATTTTATATATATATATATATATATATATATATATTTCATCTTTGTAAATTGATGAACACAAGAAAATCATTATATTTATTATGCAACTTCTTCTAAGTGGTAGTTTGATTACAAGTGCTGCTGGATGGTTAAGATGAAGTGGTGAACTGGTATAGAAAGGTTACCGATAGATGAGGAATTTAACCATGACATAAGAATTCAAAGGATTAGTTCCACTAGAGTTTCATTTTTTCTTGCTTCCTTAAATGAATTTGGCATGTTCTATTTTCTATTTTGCAGTTTTGCTTGAGTTCTATGCACCTTGGTGTGGACACTGCAAGAAACTGGCTCCAATCTTGGATGAAGTTGCTGTCTCATTTAAAAGTGATTCAGATGTCGTCATTGCAAAATTAGTAAGACCATTTTTCTGCATTGTTTTGCAATGTAAATGACATCTGTTTTTATTTCTGGCATTCCTGTTAGTAAATATTAGTAGTGCAATAAAGTAATTCATGTAGAAAAATTTTACCATAGGTCCATTACCCTGAAGAACATTATCTTGAACCTATAGTTGTGACCCTGGTATTCTAACTTCAAAGGAAAATTATCTTTTAGGCATCTATTCATTACGTTTGGCATTACTCTTCTTCAAAGTTTGTAATATTATTTGATTTCTAAATGTTAATTTTTCCTTTTATTTAACTGTTCTTATTATCTGACTGTGGAATATAAAGAGCAACTACTGCCTTGCTTTGCTAATACATCAGCAAACCCATTCGCAGTTCTTTTTACCCAATTAAACTTCACCTCCATATTTTGTGTCAAACACTTGAACCTTTTCTTTTCATTGTTAAAAGCCCAAAAATCTATTTCTTCCTTTTGCAGCCACTCCACTACCAGCTTTGAATCACCTTCTATAATCAGCTTTCGTATATTCATGTCCTTTGCCTTTTGCAGTCCCTTCGTGACGGACAACACCTTAGCCCTTAATGAATCACCTACTCCAATTGGGCCCAAAAATAGGCCAACAATTCTGCCTTCATTGTCTCTATACACCTCTGCAATTCCCGAGGGGCCTGGATTACCTGTACTGCTCCCATCAAAGTTTAACTTTATATAATCATTTAGCAGTGGAGACCAAATAGGGCTTGTAGTGGATTTATGGTACTCAGAATTGGCCACTCTATCACTCTCACCATTATTGTTTCTTTGACAGCCTCTCTAGTTCTTTCCTTGCCTGAAAACAGTCTTGCATTCCTTTTCTCCCAAATGGTCCAGCAAACTGCCACCCTCACACTTCTCCATAATACTCTTCCTCTTTTCGTTGGCCACCTAAAGAAATTAGAAGCAAACAAGATCTGCACATTTGTCGGAGGAATCCACCTGCACCCAAACAATGATAAAAACCACAAACACCTTCTTTCAACCAGGAAAAGTACCTTTGTCACATGCACCCCCTGACATTTTTTGAATTCTTCATCCTTTTTGGGTTAACTGAAATCTTACTGCTTACCTCTCCTGGGTCAACATCCTCCAAGTCTTTGCCCAGTTTTCCATTTACAACTTCAACGAGGTTACCTGGGTCAACATCCTCCAAGTCAGAAAGACAAATCAGGAAGATCAACTAACTACTAACTATATTAAAAAAAGGCCCTCTCAAGCAATCCCTAATTTGGCTAGCCAATCAGCCAAAAAACTTAAAATCTTAGGAATCCCTCTGATCCAAGTGGACAGAAAAGTAAGGTGCTCTCTAATTTTACTCTACCTGTTACTGTTTGAAGAATATCCCTCAATTAATAAAGAATTAGAAGGGAGGTGTAGTACTGGGAAGGAGTCATCTGTTCTGGGCTCAGTTGTAATAGCTAAATTTTACTATGGAGGTTTAAGAAAGCTTACATCTCCTGTTCTTGTAATGTTTCCATATTTCAATGAAATTTTGTTATTGTGTTATGGGCCCGGGAATAGGATCGCGTCATGGGTCGGTCCACGGGGAAAAGCTCCTGTTTTCCCTTGTTCCTCCCCTTCCTAGCTGAACCTATCTTGGCGTCCTAGAGGGTGATTTGTCCAAGAGATCACCGAACTCTCCTTTTACTCTCTTTCTTGACTGGAAATTTGATATCTTTATTCAATAATTTCAGCTCCTTAAATAGGAGGTTACAAGAGGTAAGAGTCCTCCTTATAGGAAGACTCCTTGATAACTAAACTGCTTACAGATAAGATAGATAAGACTCCTAGATAAGACTAACTAAACTGCTTATAGATAAGATAGATAAGACTCCTAGATAAAACTAACTAAACTGCTTACAGATAAGATAAGAGTAAGAAAGCAGATAAGATAAGGATAAGGTAAGATGAACTGTGGCTAGCTAGATAATCTGATGAGGGTCCCACGTTACTGCTGCTGCCAGCGGAGGTACTTCTTCCCCATGAATGCGTTCATAGCATATTGATAAAACAAAAATGTGTTTGTGGTGCTAGCCCGTCCAATAAATTCAAGAGAGTGTATAAGAGAAAGAAGGGAAACTAAAGGTAAAGTGGGGGGGGGGGTCTGGTGATCTTCAGTCTTATCAGATTCAAGATTTTTGTCTGAAGGAGTCTGGAGGTGTTCTTGATAGCCAAGATAACATTACTTGTCAAGCTTCCAATCAAATAGGGAGGATGGCTCTGAAGCTAGGGTGGGGACCATGGAAAATCCTGCTCAGGCCCTTGGGGTGAGAAAGTACAGAACAAAACCTGTTGGAGACCTTGAAGATAGATGGTTTGTGCAGGAGAGGGAAGTGGAAGTGGACAAAACTTATGTTGTTCAAAGAAGGCTATACTTGGAAGAGGCAGTTAATAAGGAGGTGGAGGTGAGTAAAATCTTGAGGATATGTCTCCTATGGGGTGAGGAGTTTGCAAGAAGAATCTATAGAGAAGCTGAAGAAAATGGCTGCAAATTTTGGAGGAAGAAAGTTTTGGAGGTTGGAGAGCGAGGTGGTGGGAGCTGAAGATTTTTCCTTTTGTTCTTCGATGTGTAGGGGGGTTTGTGTTTTTGTTCTATAAGGTTGCTTTCATGGTGGTTTTTTCTTTATCTTTGGGGTGATTTCTTATCACCTTTGTTTGTATTCCTTCTTTTATTCTAATGGATTTTATTTTTTGTTTATCCTAAAAAGAATTAAGACAAAAGTCATAGTAACCTTTCTTAAAAAAGTATTAAAGAAACAACAGGGATGGAAATGATGGATGGTAAAAGAAACATGGAATGTAAAGGCTGCTTGTTTCCTTTCTCATTATTAGTGTTGCTATTGCCATTACCATATAAGCCTGATGCCATTCTTGTTGCCTTTTCTGGGTTTGGTTTGGGTCAAAATATCAAATTGATTCAAAGGCCATGTTTAGTTGCTGTTTGGGTGTCATTTAGGGGTCAATTTTAGTTGTCATTGCTAGGTTATATTGGTTAGAACCTAGTACAAAGCAGGGAATAGCTAACCTCTTGGTCCATAAAACATTTCCTAATGCTTAGTTTGGAAGGAGTACAAATGCAAATATGTAGAGTTCAATACCTTATATTTTGTATTATTTTGTATGTATTTGCATTTGTACTCTTTCCAAACTGAGCCTAAATGGTAATTTGGTAGTTGTTTCTATTTCTTCTTTATTGGTTACTGATTTTGAACAATCCTTTGTGAATTTAATAAATTGCTTTTCATTTCAAAAAAARAATGCTTTCAGAAGTACAATGAGAATTACGGTCCATTCAATGACAGTAGAAAATATGAAAGTAACAACTTTTTCCAAGCAAATTTAAAGAAAATATAATTTATATATCACTCTTTTTCTACTTGTGTTATTCTCAACTTCTTTTTATTCCTTGTTACTTGAGATTATCTTAAGTCTCACATTGAAGGTTGTCTATATCAATGCATTTTGAACATGTTGTAAAGCTTGTTTTGTATTCTGTCCATTTTCTTATTGATAATTAAAAATTTCTCTCCTTATAAATTTCAATTCTTGTGTTTTTATTTCTAGGATGCAACTGCAAATGATTTCCCACATGAAACTTTTGATGTTAAGGGTTACCCAACTCTGTACTTTAGATCAGCAAGTGGCAACCTGTTACAGTATGATGGTGATAGGACAAAGGAGGACATCATAGATTTCATTCAGAAGAATCGGGATGAAACTGTCCAGCCAGATTCTGTCCAGCAGGAAACTCTCCAACAAGACTCAGTAAAAGATGAGCTATGATGAAGGTACTAATTGAACCATGTATATTGTTAATCAAGTAATTTTTATTGCTGAAATATTGATCAAAAAATTTTTTATTGCTAAAATGTGGCTATGAGGCAGTGCCATAAAGGGGTATTAATTGGACTGGATTTGGTCCAATCCAATCCAGTCCAATGTAAGCCCATTAAAAATGGACCAGGTCCAATCCAATTCATTCCAATGAATAGTTTGGGCCATTTTGAACCAGTCCAATTTAATGTCTGGACCGTCCAATCTGTTCAAATTTGTTAGTTTAGATTAATTCTAACCCAAACCTGGTTCATTGACACGTATATTCTTATCTTCTATTAATGGACCAGATATTGGCTCAATCCAACCCAATCCAATCCAATATAAATTTATTATGGATGGACCAGGTCCAATCCAGTCCAATAAATACTTTGGACCATTAAGTCTGGATTGATCCAATTCAATGTCTTGTTGGTCCATCCAATCCGTCCAAATTGATTTTGGTTTGGATGGGGTCCAATCCAAAACGAGTCCATTGACACCCCTAGCCATAATGCAACTAGTTCTCTGTAAACAGTTTTTGTAATAGCAATTTTTTTTGGGATATGGTAGATAGGGATATCACACATATCTTGAAATGTATCACATGTATACAGATATAAGGCATTTCATGCAATGCTTTTAGTTTTTACTTTGAATCTGATTTTTTTTTTTTCAATACTTGTATTCCTAACCTGCCTGCTGCCATTCATGGAATTTCTTATTGTATGATATCAATGCCATTTTGATTATTAACTAAAAAAATGCCATTTTGACAAGGCATGGATGATGATGATGATGATGATATCAATACCATTTTGATATTAGAAATGCTTACAAGATATATGCTAGAAGTGTTCATGCAGATTTACTTAATTGTGTTGACAACGGGTATTCTAAATGTGTTCAGAAATTCAGATTTACTAGTAAGCTTTGGATATGACATTATTAGGAATACTATGGAATGATGGTTATACTAACGAAAAGACTAGACAAGTCTTGTTGGTTGTTGCTCTATGATCACATGTTTTTGTTTTCTTTTTTTATTGGTATGTAGGCATTCATCTAAATAAGCAAGACTGAGGTTAGGAGACAGACTTATTGTTATTCGAGCAGTCTTGCTTGTAGATCTGTTTCTCAGAAAAAGGTTTCTTGTTCAGCTTAAAGAAAGCCTGTAAATGTCTCCCATGCTAGTAGGAATATCAGTATGAACAAACTTGGATGTTTTATTGAAGTTTATTCTACTAAAAATGGTTAATGATTTGATTGCGAATGCTTGAGAACCAATGCCATCATGGTTGTGTACAAACAGTTCATGCACCTTGAATTGCTTGTTAGCATTGTTGGTAAGTTTGCAAAACTGATTGTAAATAATGATCAATGCTTACCACTATTGGTACCAAATGAAAAATTTTCATTACAAAAACTGCTTGATAAATACGACAAACGCGAATGGCATGTTAACTTCCAGAAACTTGATGTTCCTAACTGGMAAAATTTCATTCCTCGTAACATGATTACTGCCATACTATTCTCTGAAGCGAAGTTACTGTTATGGGGCTCAGTTTTCTTTTTATTTCTACCATTTGTTGCATTTTCTGTAATGAGGTGTTTTATTTTATTTTATTTTTTCTTTACAGGATGAGCTTCATTGAGAAGAGGGAGGATTCTAATGTGCACACCTTGGGAGTTGTCACCTTACAACAGTAAAGAGCAACCCGAAGAAATATAATCTCTTTTTAATTCTCCCATTTCCTAGAATATTTCCCTCAATAAGATAGAAAGTGAGGCTTGTCCTTTTTTTTGGTTGAGTTGTATTTCAGTTTCATTTCTTCAGAGTAGACAAGGGTTGCGGATGTAGTCACCATTTTGCTTTACTTGCGTGCGGTATTCTCTGAAGTTAATCTCTCTCCCTCTCTCTCTCTCTTTCTCATGCCATTTACTGTCTCACTATTCACACCACTAACTCAAATTCAAATTTATTTTCTAATAAATTTTAGGGTTAATTACTCATATATACCTTTTACACTGAGAAACTAAACTACTTATATATACCCTAAACATTGAAAATCAACTTATACATGCCTTATTAATCAACTTCACATAACACGATCTCTGTCATTGCACCCTTAAGGAGCTATTAACAGCTCATTCCAAAAAATTTTATAATACAAAAGTCGACCCTACCGAGTAGCAGGTGTAACCTTCCTCTCAGCATAGAACAAATCATTGTAATAACTCAGGCGACCTCAGGCCATAGGACAGGTGGGATTCCCTTCCTGATTAGGTTCTTCAATGTGATTGCGTTGTTGAGGGTGGACAGTTTTAAGAGGGGATAGGATGATGCCTTTAGAAGAAATCTGAGGTTGCAAATGCCAATTTGCACCCTTTCTGGTCTCTAATACCCACCAAATACACCCTGCTGCCTCTCCTTCTCCTTCACCTTGTTCAATATGCTCACATCGGCTACATTGGTATGGATGCTTGGTTTGCAATATTGAATTTGGGCTTGGAATTTGTGGATAGTTTCTCTTCTGCTTATGGCTCTTTGCATTTCTTACAGTTGCAGAGATCGACTAAGGTGAAGAAAAAAGTGTAACTGGAGAAGATTATGATTGGTTGTGGATGGGGGTTGCTGCAATCTCTTAACTAGAAGAAGAATTTGGAGTTACTCATCTCCTGCTTCTCTGTACCCAATGAGAAGAGGCGGTACCAAACCTATTGACTATAGCTTGGACCTAAAATCCGTCATTGCATTGAAAGATATTCCAGACTTCCAGTCATGACCATGCCTCCACTCAATTCGAGAAGGTCAAACAAAGGAACTTTTAGAACTTAGAGACCTATTTTGTGTTAGACAATCCATGAGAAATTGAGAGCAGTTAGAGAGAGTATAGTTTGGGTGGATAAGATTAATTCTTCTCTTAGGAGGAGCTCTGTAGCTTTGGACCTGAGATCTGCATCATTTCTTAAAACAATCGTGTATGTCTTTTTAAGGTCGATTAAAATATGATAGCTCTGTTATTTTAGAAGAAAAATACATATTTTGAAAATTTAATCAATAGTTCAAGATATTTTTGTCTTTTATATTTTATATGTTAAACTTAACCTTTAAACGTCAACAAGGTATAAGTAGTTTTTAAAAGTTCAGGGTACATTTTAGTGGTTTTCTAAATATATATGGTATATATGAGTAATTAACCCTAAATTTATTGGATAGTAGAGTTGTTGCCTCGCAACCTAGTTGCTTGGGTGAATTATGAACTGATACAATTGAGTTTTAAAGTTTATTGGCATGCAGCAGGGGTGGATTGGCTGATAGACAATTCTATTCCACCCGTCTCAATTGTATTGGCTGATATGAACCTATACTGTGATCACATTTGACTGATGCTCATCTTTTTCTTCCTTTTCCAATTGAAATTCGAACTTGTTTCTTCAATTAACTTCTACTCTGTCATTAACTCCCATTCTCTATTATTAACTAACTCTCATATTTAAGTCATTAATTCAAAATTCAAAAGTATTAATTTTCTTTCATAACTCTTACACTTTCTCTAATCTCATTAATTTACCAATCTCTCTCTCTCTCATTCATGCCAATAACTACATCTCTTTCTATTCATGCCATTGAATCAAATTAAAATTTATTTCCCTATAAATTTTATGTTACAAAAAGCTATACAAGCAAAGAGATTCAAGCCGAAGTATCTACCTTGAGAGACAACAAATCTACCCTTAGCCCATGATTCATTTACTTATCATAATTATATGAGCTTTAGATTGTAACTTACATCTTTTCTTCTTAGTTCATGCTTTAGATTGTAACTTACATCTTTTCTTCTTAGTTCATGCTTATCAACAAATTTTAGAAAACAATTGATTACTAACATTTATATATTTTTAAATATTAATAATAATTATATTCATTTTCTAAGAACTAAATACATGCCACCTGCGATTCATGGTGGATATGTCTTGGTAGTTTATACTTCACATAACTATTAAAGTATGCATTTTTTATGTTATATACCTTATAGTCAACTAAGGACTAGATTTAGTGTTATTGAAGTATTTTTCCTCTTGCTCTCGAGAGCAAGCATCCCTCCTGTCGTAGTGCAAGCTTCCCTCCCTCTATTCCCCTTCCACCTCTCTCTTCCCACCACCATCTTCTCCCTCCCCCTTTTGAAGCCCACTCTACATATGATACCATGGAAGAAGARGACCTTTATACTGCTTTCTCTAGAATGCTCATCCCTCGTGCTACGAGGGGAGTTGAAGCTTCTTCAGAAGATGCCCTCATCGATGAAGAATGGAGAAGAAGCCTTATGTTCAAAGTCTTAACGGATAGAGTCATCAAACCAAGGGGTCTAAAGAAGATGGTGAGCAAGGCTTTGAAGATACTTGTTTCAACTGTCTTGGATTTTGCAAAAGACACATCATTAAGTTCCCTAGCAACTTTGAGAGGGACTTGGTCTTCGATAAAGACCCATGGCTTTTTGAAAACAATATCATTTTGCTATGTAGAGGAGAACCAGATCTAAGCCCTGAAGACTATGAGCTACCAATGGCAGAGGTCTGGATTCACCTAAGTGGATTACTTGTAGGATATCTATCAATCATTGTAGTGAAAAAGGTGACAACTTCTATTGGTAAACTGTTTGAACCTTCACCAAAAGAGGTGGCGCTATGGATCCAGTTTGCTCGCATTAAGGTTGCTCTGAATATCAATGAACCGTTAGTTGATTCAGTCCCATACACTCTACTCTCAGGGAAGACAATTGCAATTAAGGTTAAGTATGAAAGGCTTCCATGGTTCTTCTTGTTCTGCGGGAGATTAGGCCACGAGAAGGGTGCATGTAGAACTCTCCACCGTCTGAAACTGGCCATTGAAGACTGCAAGAACCCAGGTCAAAAAGAAAAGTTATAGTCCCTTAATGTGGATAGACTAACAAAAGACATTAAAGTCACTCCAGTTGCCAGGACTAGTGTTCGTCAACGGTTTGAAGCTGCAAAAAGAGATCTTTGAAGGAATACATACAACGATGATGCCCTCAGGAGTTACAACTGGACTGTATACCGATGAACTCACAATCTCTGACAAATGGCAATAATGGAAAGTACCTAGCGGAAGACAGGCCTCCCTTCAATTTTGGTGTTAGAGAGCCCACCAAATCAGGCAAGCTCTTCCCACCTTCCTATTTAATTTCTGACATTTCCAACATTGAAATGAATATGCACACTGTTGATTTCTCTCCTAATCTTGAGTTAGAGGCACCAATCACTAAAACACACCTAAATGGAATGACTGTTCGTATTCCTGACCTTACAACTAGCCAGTTAGTAACAAGAGGCATAGAGGATCATGCTATTGAGTCTCCCACTATGGACAGCGGGACCACCTCTATTTTACGAGGTGCTCCTACTAAATCGGCAATGGAGAACCATGGATCAATTCTCAATACTATGGAACAACAAGACATTAAGGGGGACAATGTGAATGAAAGCTCACCCATGCAAACAAATGAAATACATGTGATTGCTAAATCTAAAATTACAATGGGGGAAAAACGCATTGGTCAGCCTCTCAACCCCCCAACATCAAAGAAGCAGAACCTGGGAAAGGATCATGGACATTCCAATAGGCAACCAATTAAACGATTGGCATGTGTACAAGCAGCTGATCTCCATCCTACAATCAATTCTCCAAATCTAGATGAAGAATTGAGGGCCGGGGTGGTGGGCCCAATACCGCCCCACAGTTAGCCATGAAAGTCCATAGTTGGAACTGTCAAGGGGGAGGGAGTCCTCCGACAGTTCGTCAACTACATCAGCTCCTGAAAAAATATGCTCCAGATATTATCTTCATTTCGGAGATTAAGTGCTATTAGGAAAAGTCCTTAAAAATATGTAGAAGCTTTTTTGCATTTGACTTTCACATAATTCCCTCAAAAGGATGATCTGGCGGACTTTCTTTGGCTTGGCTGGTTGAAGCCTCTTAAATTAAATGTTTATCAATATTCTCCTTACATTATTGCTTGTGATTTCTTGATGGGCTCACCCGACTTGCAATGGGCCTTATTATGTTACTATGTCTACCATAATAATGAAAGCCGACAGGAATTCCAGTCTCAAGTTATAAATTTTAATGCTTCTTCAACGAGGCCATGGGTGGTGTTAGGTGACTTTAATATGATCCTAAATGCAGATGAAAAGGAGGGGGTGTGGAAGTGTCTTAGTCCAAGTGTTCTATTTTGCAATCTATTATACATGGTTGCACTCTCATTGACTTAGGCTTTAAAGGTCCTACTTTTACTTGGTCAAACCATCGGGAAGCCCAATACCAAGTCCATYAAAGACTGATCGAGTTCTAGTGTCTGCTGATTGGTTATAACTTTTTCCTACARCCTGGGTTTCACATATCTCTGTGACTAATAGTGATAATCTCCCTCTGTTACTTGAACTAAGAAAGAAGATTACTCATGTGAACCAACATYGAGTTGAAGCCAATTGGTTCAGTGAAGAAGGTTTCAATCAGTTTTTCCAGACTTCTTAGGCAGCCCATGAGGGCCCTTTTCATGTAAAAATGCCAAAGGTACTGAGGGATCTCCAAAGCTGGGAAAACAAATGCTGCAGCAACTTCCAACCGCATATCCAGAAGCTTGAATCCTAGCTTAGTCAAAACCAATAGCTTCCCCTGTCCCAAGTTACAATTACTAAGGAGAATCGAAGTAAAGCTCAAATTAATGAGTGGTTATACAAGGAAGAGGTTCACTGGCATCAATGGTCACGCATACAATGGTTGAATCATGGAGATAGAAGTGCATGCTTTTTCCATGCAGTGGCTTCAAATAGGAATAGGAAGAACTCAATGCTCTGGCTGAAAAATAACAAAGGAATTTGGACATTAGATATAAAGGAAATTGGTGCCACATTGTCCTCCTTCCAAAAGCTATTCTAATCTTCTGATAGTGACACTGAAGATTTTGTTCTRCCTTCAGATACCGGTTACACCCTCTCTCTTGAAGATAACRATAAATCATGCATGGTGTCTACGAAGGAAGAAATTAGAGCAATGATGTTCAGTATAGGGGCCAATTAAGCCCTAGGTTCTGATGGGATAAGTGTGGCCTTGCACTAAAGATGCTGGGCTGTCATGGAGTTGGAGGTGACTACTCTCATTCAAAACATCTTTATGAACTCCCCAACTATTAAGGAGATTAACAAAGCAATTCTTTGTTTAATCCCCAAGAACCAAAATGTTGAGGATGACAATGACTTTCCAATTGGATTAAACAATGTAAGCTACAAGGTTGTTACTAAAATTATCACAAATTGGCTCCATCCTCTTCTTAAGAATTTGATATCTCCTATGCAAGGTGCCTTCACCCCAGGAAGATCGATAATGGACAACACTATTGTTGCGCAAGAGGTGATTCATACGATGAGAAGGGTCAAGGGCAGGAATGGGTTTTTCATGCTCAAAATGGACTTATCAAAAGCTTATGATCGGATCCATTGGAACTTTCTATTGAAAATGTTGAATGTTTTGGGTTTCTCTAGGGAGTTCTATAATCTCATTCACAACGGTCTTGCTACCATTGAATTGGTAGTGAAAGTTGATGGTGCAATCGTTMTTGCCTTCAACCCCACGAGAGGATTAAGACAAAGTTGTCCTTTAAGCCCTTATCTATTCATCATATGCATGGAAGCTCTTTCCCACACTCGCATTCACAACCTAGATACAGAGAAACTCACAGGTTTTAGGTTTGGGAAGTCAACAATAAGAATAAATCACTTGTTATTTGCAGATGACTTACTCCTATTTGGAAAAAAGTTCATTGCAAGAAGCCATCAAATTGAAGGATCCTTGGCGTTCTTTGTAGGTGGTCTGGCCAACTTCCCAACAAACAAAAATCAGCCATTTTCTTCAGCACCAATGTGCATAGAAGAGCCAAACTCCGGATTTCTAGCATTTTTGGAGTGACCCAAATGAAACTAAAGGATAAGTATCTAAGTAACCCTTTGTTTGTGGCTCGAAGATCCGTTGAAGATTGGAACCAAATTATAGAAAAGGTGAAAGACAGACTTGCCACTTGGAAGGATAGGCTCCTATCTAAGGCTGGTAGATCAGTGCTCATCAAGTCCACACTTGAAAGCAACCCAACTTATACCCACCTTTTGCTAAAGAGTAACGGATAAGCTAGATACCCTAAGCCGAAACTTTTGGTGGGGAGACATGGAGAACCATAGGAAGATTCATCTTTGCAATTGGAAATTCATGCAAAGATCCAAGGATAAAGGGGGTTTGGGCTTTAAAAGTACCTACTATAGAAACCTGACTCCAATCATGAAACTAGGATGGCATTTTTTAACCATGGTAGATTCATTATGGGTTACTATTCTATGACATAAATACTTAAGAATAGATCTTTTTGGAAAGTGAAGGCATTCAACAATGTTTCATCAATTTGGAGTGGTATCTAAAAGTGCAGATAGCTCTAAAGACTGGGGTGCAGATGGTCAATTGGTAATGGGTGGGACACTCAACTAACTATAGACTCTTGGTTACCTAATGGCTCAGTACCAAGACTTAAGCAAGAAATAAGTGCATGCCCTCATAAAGTTGTTGAATTAATTGACTAGGACTCAATGACTTGGAGAGCTGAGAGGTTTGAAAGACTTTTTGATGATACATCGTGTGAAGCCATTTTGTCTATACCACTCCCTCCTCTAGGAAATGTGTTAAATGATAAAGTTGTGTGGCATGTGACACCTTTAGGCAAGTTTTCCACTTCATCAGCTTACATGCTTATAAGCAATTTGGACCCATCATCCTCACAAGATGGAGTCATTGCGGGAAACTTCACATGGAAGCAGTTTTGGTCTTTCACCACTATCTGGCAAAGGGTGTTACTCTTTGCTTGGAGATGTGTTCACAATCTATTACCAATTCGAGCTTTCCTTCAAACACATGCGCCAAATATTGGTGTGAACTATCATAGAGTGAGGGAAATGGGGGACCATTTATTTTTTGAGTGTCCAGTCACTTTTATAGTTTGGTTTGGATGTTCTCTATCACTTAGAGTGGAGGCCCAACCATAGTTCACAATAAAAATTGGTTCCATTTCTAGTGGAGGGTGGATGATGAAACTGAGGAACAGACCCACCACACCTTTTCTCTAGCCCTGCTAGTCATGTGGCATATTTTGAGGGCCAAAAATCAGGTCGTTTTTGAAAACAACCCCTTCGACCCTTCCTCTATCATTACTAATGCCCACTGAGATTTGGAAATGGTAGTGAAGAACAAAAGAAACAATATGGCACCACAAACTTCACCTCTAGAAGTAAGTGAAATACCTAGATGGCAAAAACCCCCTCCGGGTTTTCTTAAATTCAATGTGGATGGTGCTGTGTTCCAAGATTAGTTTGGAGTAAGAATTATTGTTAGAGATAACTGTGATCATTGCATTTGTGCTAGAGCTGCCCCTATCTTTTTGTCCAACCCCAGAAGCGGAGGCCCAGGCTATCCTTGAAGGGTTAAGATTGGCCTTATCTTGGAATTTTTCTGATATAGTTATTGAGAGTGATGCTAAGTTCATTTTTGACCTCTTGTTGGTGGAAAATTCTGAACCACCATGGCGACTCAGATTCGTGATCGTAGAGTGCAAGAGGCTTATTCATTAGCTACAAAACTGTGTCATTAGTTACAAACCAAGGAATTGTAACAAAGTGGCTCACCTTTTGGCCAAATTTGCTCTTTCCTATACTCGGACAATTTCTTGGTCTTTCTCCCCTTCCTTCATCATTGATCTCTTGGGGAGTGATTGTAACTTGAGTTGAAAAGAAAACAAATGCATGTGCATCCTAATTTTTCTATTATATCCATGCATATCTGAAGTGTATCTAAACAAGTCTTTTAAAATTTCC